TCAGAGTCATTAGTATTAGAATGTTCCTCAATTCTGGTGTGAAGGCATGTGTGCAGGCACTGAAAACTTGTGTTTTGGCTTATACTTGTTTTCTATTTTTCATTTTAGCCTGCAATCCAAATCCTTGTTTAAATGAAGCTCGCTGCAATTTGGTCAATGACGATTTCACTTGCACATGTGGATCTGGCCGCAGTGGAAATCTATGCCAAAGTAAGTTCAATAATACCTTTGTGATGAAAGTTTGCAGCGCCTTTCTAAAATTGGATTGAAGAGGCGAAAACGAATTCAGTTCAGTCGGTCGAGCACTAGAGTCAGTGAATCAGTCAGTCAGTCAGTCAACTTTTTAGTTATGGGACTTTAAATTTGACGGACATGCATGGACAAAAGTTTATACTGTACAATAAATCTAGAGTCAGGAAGTAATAGTCATTATATATTTTCTAAAAACGACCGAGGGTCGAGCGGTACACAGAACAATCAAATATTGTTTCATAGTCTATCATGATCATATAGATATCTTATATACACTAGATAGCGCATCTCTTTTAGTAAAATTGAAGCCAAGAATATTCCAGCGGTTACCCCCATTTGAATAGATGGCGGCCATGTTGGTCGTTCCCACTTAGTAATAAACGCTTAAAAACAACAATAACTTTCATCACTCGAATAGTTTAAAAATGTATTTGGAATATGGTTAACTTAATGTTTAAGTTCCCTGTTTAAGAAATAGAAAACATACGAGTCTTCTCATTTCATGGGAACGACCTGAGCTCGAGACTGCAATCACGGCTTCAATTTTTGAATTGCAGAATAATTAGATGCACTATCTAGTGTATATAAGATATCTATGATCATGATGGACTGCATGCATGGAAACTTAATAGAAGTCATTGTGTTATATGTTTTTGTCTGAATGTGTGCACAGTCACGGTGATAGCTAAGATGAAACGTGCAACACGATGAATAATATGTAACGAAGTTGAGACAAAGGATTTGTGCACGGTGAGGTACAATTCAACATCAAACGAAGGGCAAAGGGCTTTTATCGTTTAGCTTTAAAGTTTTCCTAGCTCAGTGCCGTAGCAAGCACGATAATTGGGGAGGGGGGCTCATATTCATATATTCGTGTTCACAGACCATAAAAACAATCGATTTCAAAAGAAATTAATAACGCAGAACACGAATATATGAATATAGCTTGCGACGGCACTGTAGCTAAAGGCCGTTTTCATTAACGTTCGCTTCGGCCGTGCGGGCGAATTAGCGTTCATTCTTTTTGACGCCCGTCACGCCCGCGTGCATGAGCAGATTTTCAAAGCCGGCTCCGCCCGCGCCGGCAAAGCGACTGCAATGGAAACTGGACTTTAAAGCCTGTTTTATACGTCGTTTGGTCACGTCGAATGCAATTAAGACAATAGATAATGAGATGATAAACCTCATTAAGCTTCATTATCTATTTTTGAATTGCATTCGACGCGATCGAAATTCGACGTACAAAACAGGCCCTAATTAATAAGTTACTCTCAACCATTTGTTTTTTAATGTTGTCCACTGATACTGCATGTGCTCGTCAGATCAGATTTTTAATTGAGTTTTTTTAGTAAGGTGTATAAAAAAGGTAATCCGGCTTTAGTGAGTGCGATTTTGTAGTTTCAATATTTTATGTATAGATTAATCTTTTTCATATTAACAAAATTAGTTTTTATCTTTTGAATGTTTTTTTTATCTTTTGTATCATTCCACGGGCGCCTTCTTCGCACACTAGTGCAAGTTGCACGCACACTTGTCATTCGTGACCAATTACGTGTGACAAAAATCCTAGTGTGCGGGGAAAATATATGCGGGATTTTTGTCACTCATGTCATGAACAACAATTATAATATAGCATTTGTAAATTCTGAACGCTGATTGACTAAGAGCCGTGTTGATATAACTCAATGTCAACACGGAAACGTTGGAAAATTTCTTTCCTTATGTTTCTTTGTGCTATATTATAAAAAAAATATAAAACATTTTTTCCGCATTGATATACAGTTATATCAACACTCGTGGAAATTGCCGGGAAAACTCGAAATTTTGTGAAAACAGTCCGCCCTTCGGGCGTCGTGTTTCCACACAATTTCTCGTTTTTCCAATTTCCACTCGTATTGATATAACTGTATATCAACACGGAAAATGTTTTATATTTGTTAAATATCAAACATGTTTGATATTTTCTGTCATTCGTGACAAAATTTCCTAGTGTGCGGCAAACAGCTCATCAAAACTTTTCGCAGAAAAGAAGTGCCCATGCGTGATATTCCCCATGCGTGATATCACGCACGCGCACTTCTTTGCTCACGGTTGTCGAATTGACGAATGACGAGTGTGCGCGCAACTTGCACTCGTGTCGCCCGTGTCGGCCGGGCTTTAAGTCAGTTCTACTTACTGCGAAAGCGAAAAAAGTAGAAAATGATTCTATAGAATCACTCATGTGCAACTATCCGTCTTTCGCAGACACAATTTCTCGCGAAGAATTTCGCCGTTGTACTGTATGTACTTGTAAAATAAAAACTTATTAATGTATAAATTAATAAATGCATAAATTTTGCTTTGTGCACTCGCGTGTGCAGTAATTTTGACAGTTGTGCTATTTTAAATTCCCAGGCACCTAAAATCTTTTGTCCTTAAAACAATGTCGATTTCTTGGGAAATTCCGAGGTTGCGTTTTTTTATACACCCTGTATACCCTGTATGGTCATTCAATATATGGTTGAAAAGCAATATATTTAGCTTTGTTTGCACATCTTACATGGGCACCTTACATGGAGCATCTTACATGGGCACGACATGTCGAAAATAGTTCCAAAATGATTGCATCAGCTATTGGAGCTCTTAAACGGGTACGCCAATTTATAGATACAAACACTGCTCTGAAAATTTATGGAGCACTAATTCAACCGCACTTTGATTATTGTAGCTCAGTTTGGGATGGTTTGAATATCACGTTAAATGACAAATTGCAAAAATTGCAAAATAGGGCAGCGAGGGTCACAGTGGCGCCGCCAGCTCGATAATTGGGGGGGTGTGAATATCTTCGTGTTCTGCATTATTAACTTCTTTTGAAATCCATTGTTTTTATGGTCTGTGAACACAAATATATGAATATTCGCCTCCCCCCACAATTATCGCGCTGGCGGCGCCACTGGAGGGTCATCACTAAATCTCAATATGATGCTAGTTCCAGCTACCTTTTTAGTAAGCTGGGCTGGGATGATCTTTTAACACGTCGGAAAAAGCATAAGGCTATACTAATGTTAAAACAATTAACGAACTAACTCCGTTTTATCCCCATGAATTGCTTGAATCTCGCAGCACAGGATATAATTTAAGAAACTGTGAACACACCTTATTTTTCACCCTGCTCGGTTTCCTTTGTTCTTGTCGGGGAATATATTCAATATTCCCCTCTAATCAATTTCCGTTTAATAATCCCCTCTAATATTCACCTGGAATTAATAATCCCCTCTAATATTCACCTGCAATGTCTTTGCAGCACAAAAAATGAGAAAAAAACAACATCGCGAAGGCAATATGGCATTAAGAATTATTTCTTTTCTGACTCATTAACGCGACCTCGCAGAGTGAAAAATATAAAAATATTTCCTACGGAAATATGGTTTTTTATGTCAAGCCTCAATTATAGTGATAAGATTAAAGTAGGAAATAGTTAGATTGGATTGTGGCAGATTAAGGTGCGACTTGGCGGAGAAGGAAATTCCGGTGCTTTTACCTACGTAAGACATAAAGTCAAGGCCAAATTTTAGCTACTAAAAGGAAAGCAAAGTTATTCACTTCTCAATTCAACCTTTCTCGCGATCGAGTGAAGACATACGAATTTTCTTTGACGTTTTGGACTTCTTTCTTTTACCTTTATACAGGTGAGATTTTCAATTATTATTATTATTATATTATTCTTATATTTTGATACTTTTAATTTGGGTATTATGGAATTGTCACGCCCAAAAGTTCATGTTTTAGGACACTCGTTTGTCAAACGTCTCCATCGCGATTTGCGCTCTAATTTCGACATCCGTGCGGCCGTTAGTTTTAATATACAAAGGGCCTCTGTCAAATTGCATGGAATTGGGGGACGCACAGTAGATAAGTTGATCGCGTTCGATTTAGATAAAGTTCGTTCATTTCGGCCTGCCATTGTAATTTTGGAAGTGGGTACTAACGACCTTAGCCATAGCAACCCGAAGTAGTGGGTTCCAAAATCGATGACCTCGTTCATCTTTTACTTCAGCTCCCTTATGTTGAGATAGTAGGGGTTTGCCTCATTACACATCGGGCAGCTTCCCCGGAGTTCAACAGGCAGGCGTTTATTTTGAACCAATATTTAGAGGTCGTTCTGGACGGTGTTCCCAACGTTTTTTGCTGGAGTCATAAGGGATTCTTACAGCGCGTAAAATCTCCGTTTCTACCAGACGGTGTCCATTTCAATCGTAGAGCGCAATACACGCTGTATCGCAGTTATCGTGGTGCTATTCTTAAGGCTTTAGCAAGCCTTCCTAGTTGTTAGTCTGTTATCTTCGGTTGTATGTCTTTTATACTTTTATGTCACCAGATACTGTTTAATTTTATTTAGATTTCTTCTTGCACGAGGCTACGCCCTCACACTTTGATTCTGGTGTTGGCTACGTCCACACAGAATATGTTTTATTTGGAGAAGTACTCCATACTTTATAATCCTTGTGAGATTTTATTCTCGTTTATTTGTGATGGCTACGTCCTCACACGTGTTAATCTGAGGCTACGTCCTCATTATTTCTTAGTGGCGTTTTATTGGGCGAGTGGTGCGGCCACTTCGTTGTGTGCCATGCTCGACCCAGCCTATATTTTAGTTTTATTTTATCTTGTTAGATTTTATACTTCATAAACTTTTAGTATTCTCCCACTACGTTTCTGAGTGTGTTTTTCAGGAATTTTACCATGCCCGCCACTCGAAATCAACGTGCTCAGCGACCAGTATCGGCAGCCGTACCACCAGCACGCCGTTCCCATCGCGCTCGAGCGCCCCGTGCCTCAGGAACAACCACGACGGTTCCTTCGTCCAGTTCTCCTCGGCCAGCAACAGCTGCTCCTCTTGCTCCAGCCTCGGCTATCACGCCCCAACAGCTCCAAGAGATCGTCAGCTCCGTAACCGCAGAAGTGACTCGACGCCTGCAAACTGTAGCAACTCCAGTGCCTGGTGTCCACGCAGTCCCATCGGGTTCTCCTTCTGGACCTGCTGTCTCAGTTACGGAATCGCCTATTGTCCGCATCTCAGAGCATGTTGCGACTTCTCCGACGGCTGTGGCGCAACTTGCTGTTTTCAACGCTCTTGGTTCGGCCCACGCCACAATTTCAGGTGAGACGTTTTTCTGGCCATGTTCAACCGTTTTTCTGGCCATGTTCAACCAACGCAGGAATATCACTCTAATAGTTTACCTATAAACTGTCGGATTTCCATTAAACTTCAAAATAAAATTTGGAACGATGAATACATTGATTTCGGGTCTTTGTTGAACAATCCAATGTCAGAAAACAAATTCCAATTGAGCTTTAGCTCTTCTGACGCCGGTTTACCACCATCTCTTTCAGTAGAGCCGATAAGTAAAGCCAAGAAAATAACAAATATTTATTAACAGATTATGGTATCCCTGTCATTTACTATTCGTTGCCAAAATACTTGCGTTCCGAATTGGAAAGATTACAAAAAAGAGCTATTAGAATCATCTGTCCAAACACTAATTACGAAGACGCTTTAATTAGTTGTGGATTGGAGTCAC